TGCAGCCATGCAATTAAAAGACGCTTACTCCTTGAAAGGAAAGTTATGACCAACCTAGACAGCATATTAAAAAGCAGAGACATTACTTTGCCAACAAAGGTCCATCTAGTCAAGGTTTTTCCCGTAGTCATGTATGGATGTGAGAGTTGGACTATAAAGAAAACTGAGCACCGAAGAATTGATGCTTTTGAACTGTGGTGTTGGAGAAGACTCTTGAGAGTCCCTTGGACTGCAAGGAGATCCATCCAGTCCATACTAAAGGAGATCAGTCCTGGGTGTTCATTGGAAGGACTGATGTTGAAGCTGAAATTCCAGTACTTTGGCCACCTGATGTGGAGAGCTGACTCATTGGAAAAGACCCTGATGCTGGGAAAGATTGAATGCAGGAGGAGAAGGGCATGACAGAGGATGAGATGGTTGGATGGCATCACCGACTCAAGGGACTTAAGTTTGAGCAAGCTCCAGGAGTTGCTGATGGAAAGGGAAGCCTGGAGTCCTGCAGTCCATGAGGTCACAAAGAGTCGGATACAACTGAGCAACTGAACTGAACTGAGCACCAAAGAATTGATGCCTTCGAACTGTGCTGTTGGAGAAGACTCTTGAGAGTCCCTTGGACAGCTAGGAGATCAAACCAGACAATCCTAAAGGAAATCAACCCTGAATATTCACTGGAAGGACTGGTACTGAAGCTGAAGCTGCAATTCTTTGGCCACTTGATGCAAAGAACCGATTCATTGGAAAAGACCCTGATGCTGAGAAAGATTGAGGGCAGGAGGATAAGGGGGTGAGAGAGAATGAGATGGTTGGATGGCATCACTGTCTCAATGGTCATGAGTTTGAGCAAATTTAGGGAGATAGTGAAGGACAGGGAAGTTTGGCATGCTGCAGTTTATGGGGTTGCAAACAGTCAGACATGACTTAGTGACTGAACAACAACACTGAAGAGTGTTACTAATATGTCAAAACATTATTATTAGAATTTCCATGAAGACAGATTTTTTTTGGTGGTGAGGGTGTCTATTTTATTCTCACTGCCTTATATCTAGTACCTAACACACATATTGTTGAAAGAATAAAAAATAATGTGAAAATAGATTGCTAACGGCACTGCCGGACTTTTGTACAAACTAAGATATATTCATTCACTCAGTTCAGTTCAGTCACTCAGTCGTGTTTGACTCTTTGCAACCCTATTAACTGCAGCACGCCACGTCTCCCTGTCCATCACCAACTGCCAGAGTCTACCTAAACCCATGTCCATTGAGTTGGTGATGCCATTCAACCATCTCATCCTCTGTCATGCCCTTCTCCTCCTGCATTCAATCTTTCCCAGCATCAGGGTCTTTTCCAATGAGTCAGCTCTCCACATCAGGTAACTGTTTCCCCATCTATTTGCCATGAAGTGATGGGACTGAATGCCATGATCTTAGTTTTCTGAATGTTGAGCTTTAAGCCAACTTTTTCACTTTCATCAAGAGGCTCTTCAGTTTCCTCTTTGCTTTCTGCCATAAGGGTAGTGTCATCTGAATATCTGAGGTTATTGATATTTCTCCCAGAAATCTTGATTCTAGCTTGTGCTTCCTCCAGCCCAGGGTTTCTCATGATGTACTCTACAAGTAAGTTAAATAACCAGGGTGACAATATATAGCCTTGATGAACTCCTTTTCCTATTTGGAACCAGTTGTTGTTCCAAACTGTTGTTCCATGTCCAGTTCTAACCGTTGCTTCCTGACCTGCATACAGGATTCTCAAGAGGCAGGTCAGCTGGTCTGGTATTCCCATGTCCTTTAGAATTTTCCACAGTTAATTTACTCAACAAATATTTATTTGAATATCTACTACATGCCAAAAAGAACACAAACTATTGGGAATAAAATTATGAACAAGATAGGTGCAATTTCTGTCTTCTTAGGAAATGCGTAAAGTTCAATATTAAATAAAATATCGATGCTCTCATATTTTTCACTGTAAAACACATTTTAAAAGTTCCAGAGGCCGAATATTACCAATTCTTTTCCTTCGCATCCACTGAAAAACTCAGGATCAGAAACTGGATCAGTGAGGTAAGATTGGAGGAGATTTAGCCGAAGACCAGTAGGAGGTTCATTAGTCATTTTGACTCCATTCTGTAGAATTGTTACTGGGAACTGAGACAAAACAAAGAGCATTACTCTAGATAACCAACTCAAGTCTTAAAAATGCATACAGCAGTGGATTAAAAGTAGGTATAAAAGAGGACTCCAGCAATATTTTTAAAACCTCTTAATATTAAGCATTTAAGATATACAAGGTAATAGTTAATCAAATAAATGTACTAAAATCCATAAGAAATAAACATACTTTTGGAGATGGGTAACTTGTGAGCCAAAGCCTAAAAGATGAGTTACAGACTTCAGGAGAAAAATCTTCACATATTTTTTCTAACATGGGCATCCAGGAGACAGCGAGGTGACAATTCTGTAGGCAAACCCAAGTTCCGTCCTCTATTGCTGCTTTAATCATTTTTGTTGCAATGGGTCCTTGTCCCTGTCCCAGTGAAATAGCTTGAAATTTATTTCCAGACATAGCTTTATCATTTGCAAATTTTAGCAGGCCTAAGAGGGCATAAAAATAAATGGTTTCACTGCTTATTCTAAAATTATAAAATACGCTTTATGTTTCAGTATATACAAGTATTTAACTGTGAAAAACTCTAGTTATTACTTTTCCTTATATATACCAAATTTACTAAGTGATTTATAATCATCCAGGAAATAGATATTGAACAAGATGATTTATTTATAATTTCTTAAAGTTGGCTGTAGGCTTCCCTGGTTGTCTCAGTTGTAAAGAGTCCACCTGCCAACACAGAAGACACAGGTTTGAACCCTGGGTCAGAAGATCCCCTGGAGAAGGAACTTGCAATCCACTCCAGTATTCTTTCTTGGAAAAATTCCATGGACAGGGGAGCCTGGCAGGCTATAGTACCTTGGGTCACAAAAGAATCAAACACAACTTAGTGACTAAACAACAACAAAAGTTGATAGTATATGCACTTACTGGCCATGGGATCTGCTCCTGGAGACAACACAAAAATTAAGGGAATGGTGCAATTTGAATCCAAATAACTCTTTGTCAAATCAAATGGTGGAGGCTCTACAAACTTTTTCCCTAGTTTGTCAGTTACATAATTAGTTATAGCTGGAGTTATCTGTTGAAGAGAGAAAAAATACAATCTTTAGAGTAATTTTTACTTCACAAGACAACTTATTTTCCTGAAAACTGACAAAGAGCAAACTATGAGTCTAATGGACAAGAAAAACATGCAGTATATATCATAGACAAAGTACTAGTTTTCCTAATATATAAAAAGCACCTAAAAAGTAATGGACAAGACTAACAATCCAAGAGAAAATGGGCAAAGAAGATAAACAGTTTATAGAAAATGAAATAGAAATGGATCTTAAACATGTGAAAGAATGCTCAGTCTCATTCAGTATAGCAGAGACTGCGAACTGTCCCATTCTGTGTCTCCTTTTGGTAACAGAATCCCAAGTTCTCCCAGCCTTTCATGCAGCTAGATGTGGCCAAGTGACCAGTTTTGGTCAGAGAAATACAAATAGAAATTATATACAGAGCTTCCAGATCCTATTTTTATAAGGAAACTGTTTGCCTTCCACTCTCTCTTCTGTTCTATAGACGTGGTGTTCATGAGCTAGCTTCAATCTCGCTGACAAGGACCAAACTTCAGGAGACTTCTCTAGCATGAGAAAAGAAACTTGAGTCTCTGGATGATCCTAGGAACCTCTGTACCCTACCAGCACTCAAGCATTTGCTTAGGCCTGTTAGGAAAGATAGAAATTAACTTCTATTTTATTTACGCTACTGTATTTTAGGTCTCTTTGTTACAGGAGCTTAGTCTATACCATAATACTTAAAAATAAGAAAAATACAGATTATAATTATATTAGATACCATTTTTCTCCTACCAGTGAAAGTGTTAGTTGCTCAGTTGTGTCTGACTCTTTGCAACACCACAGATTGTAACCCGTCAGGTTCCTCTGTCCATGGGATTCTTCAGGCAACAATACTGGAGTGGGTAGCCATTCCCTTCTCCAGGGGGTCTTCCTAACCCAGGGATTGAACACGGCACTCCCACATTGCAGGAAAGATTCTTTACCATCTGAGCCATCCTTATCAGATGGTTAAATAAATGGGATAACAATAGCCTCTGTGTATTCATCCCTAGATTGTTAACTTTTCACAGTAGGCTAAAACCTGTTAGCTCAAAAGTTCATTGGCACCAAATTCAAACTATTACATATTCAACTGTTTTAAACATAGCCTAAATAAGCAGATTTTTAGCCATTTAGAGCCTGTCTACTGTGCAACAGACAAAGGATGAGGTGGTTGGATGGCATCACTGACTCAATGGACATGAGTTTGAGCAAACTCAGGGAGACAGTGAAGGACAAGGAAGCCTGGTGTGCTGCAGCTCATAGGATCCCGAAGAGTTGGACACAACTTAGCGAAAGAACAACAATAGCAGATTCGACACTACAAAAGAAGAAATCACCACATTTAAAGACAACAATAGAAACTGTCCAACTGAGGCAAAGTGATACGAAAAATTTTTAAGTAATTAACAGAGTATCAGACACCTGTGGTATAATATCAAGTAGTAGGCATGCTAAGTTCCTTCCCGTGTCGGACTCTGTATGACCCTATGGACTGTAGGGCCCCAGGCTCCTCTGTCCATGGGGATTCTCCAGGCAAGAATACTGGAGTGGGTTGCCATGCCCTCCTCATCAAGCAGTGTAATGTATGTTTAATCGAAATCATGGGCAAAAAATATTTGAAGAAATAATAACCAAAGTTTTTCTCAAGTTGAAGAAAAATATAAACCTACAGGTCCAAGGACCTCAGTGAACCCATCTGAGCATCTGAAATGAAGGTTAAAGTACCAAATAATAGTAACTTTAAGCCTAGTGTTTTATAAGTGGCAGATTATCTAGGTTCCAAATAGAACCCATTTGTTTTTTACCTTATCAGGTCTTAAGCACCGAAGAATGATTATTTTCTGTAGCTCATTTAGCCTTGTATCCATTGGTGCTGGAAATTTAGCATTGTGTGGCTCCTTACTGTCATAGATCTCCCGCCATTCAGACAGATTGTCATAAAAATGATCCCTAATGGAAAGAAAAGCTTAACAATTATCCTTTCACTAAGAAACACTGAAAGAGATCATTGAATGAGGAGATGAATCAAGACAGTTTTAGAACTGTTTTTGAAAGATCACTAGATTACAGATTTACCCATCACCATTCGGTGCTAAGTCATCATGTTTAAACAAGTACCTGAGTCCTCTGAAGGCAGGAAATTCACTTGCACGACAAATTTCCTCCCAGCTTTTATCCTGTAGCCAAGTTGGATCAGGATTTTTCTCAGCACTCTTAAGACTTACTCCTCCAGTTAAAAGAAACATCAGTTCCTGGTATTCAATCTCTTTCTTTGCCCTGTGTTCCCAAAATAAGGACTGTTGTAAATTGTTTTAACATTAAATGAAGTCAATTTCTGCTTCTATAGTGTGGATAAAATAATCAGAACTGAATTATACTACTGCTGTTAACAACTAGAAAAAACAGAAAAAAAAAGTCAAAGAATCAATTATTTTTAGAAATTGTAATAGCCAATGAAGGATTGTGGAACCTGAAAAACAGGGAGACAAGGTGATCCCTATGATTGCCTCAGCTATCTGCCTGGAGGCACTTTTCAGACTATAAAGCAAGCGGAGGGGGAAATCAAAGTCAGAAACTAGGAGTATTGTGGAGTTGAAGAGAAAGAGGTCAGAGTTAAGGAAGGCTGAGGTGACTGGAATTTGTGGGCAGAGTACCAGAGGGAGGGAGATTCATGGAAAAAGAGCTCTGGAAATCTGCATACATATCCTCTTGATTCGTTCATTAAATGCTAAGTTATGTATGTGGACGGTAAAACTCCATGAACCCAGGCAAAGAATATCTAAGGAGCTGTAAACTAAGTAGCTATCAAAACTCACACAGGACTTAAGATATGAGTTATTGCCAACTAGACTTGAATCTTGATTGAACACCAGGACAATTCAGTGCTGACACTGGCGGGATTATACTTTAGTAGTGAAGCTAACCTTGCTGTAGAATAAAGTCTATTCTAAAACTGCTGTAAGAAAGTGTTAAAAAAAGGGGGGGGGGGCTTGAAAAAGTCAAACGATTCAGTACAATTTAAGTATATGCAAAGTAAAGTCTAGAGCAGAGTAAAGTCTAGAGCTCTTAAAGAAATTAAAAAAAAAAAACAACACCAGCATTTACCAAAGTAAAACTCACAGCATCCATAACCAGGAGAAAAATAAGTATGTAGATACAGACATAGAAGTGGTAGAGATGATATAACAAGCAGGCAAGAATGTTAAAAGAGCTATTATAAATACGCTGAAGGAGTGAAAGTGAAACATGAACATGATGAAGAGAGAAGTGGGCAATATAAAGAAAATAATCAATGAAACTTCCAGAGATAAAGAATTAAAATCTGAAAGAAAAATTCACTGAATTTTTCTCAGGTTTATAAAAACTGAAAGTATCCATTACCAGAAGACAAAGTATACGAAATGCTAAAGGAAGCTTCAAGGAGATGCAAATTTGAATCAACAAAAAAGAATAAAGAGCATCAGGAATGGTTAACTAGTAGATAAAGATAAAAAGTATTTTCCTATAATTTGTCTCTTTAAAAAATAATTGACTATTTAGAGCAAAATAACATGTACAAGTGAAATATAAAACAATAAAACAAAAGCTATAAGGGAGAGATGAAAGTATATTGTTTCAAGGTCTTTTATATATATATATATAATATATATATGTATACACACACATAAATATATATAGACTTTTCTCTCTCCCCTTATACCTTTTACCTTATACCTGTCATATATATATATGCAGATCAAAAGATATACTGTGACCCTAACAAACCACTAAAATAATAAAACAAAATTATAGCTAATAAATGAACAAAGAAGATAAACTGGAACCACAAAAATACTCAAATAAAAACAGAAAGTGAGGAAATGCAATAAAGAACAGATCAGCAAAACAGAAAATAAAATCATAAGATGGTAGATTTAAATATAACTCTAATATCTCACTGAATATAGTCTATAAACGATTTTATTAAAGGTAGTGATTATCAGATTGGATAAAACAAGTAAGCCCCAACTACATGCTATCTACAAATATAGTTTAAATATAAAACAAATAGGTTAAAAGTAAAAGTATGGAAAAATATATACGATGCTAACAGTACTCAAAAGAAAGATGGAGGAAAAAGAAAAAGAAAGCTGGAGGGGCTACAATAATATCATACAAAGTAGATTTCAGAGCAATGGTATTACCAGGGATTTTAAAAGATCAAATTGATTTATCAGATGAACCTAACAGTCCTAATCATTTACACATCTACTAACAAAATGTCAAAACACAAAGTAGTATTGATAGAATGGTAGGAGAAATCTCTGCAGAGATTCCAAATCTCTCTCAATAATTGAACAAATAGAAAAGCAATAAGAATATAGAAGATATATGGACCACCTTAACCTTCTTGACTTTTTTAGAACATTCCACCCAAGAACAGCAAAATTACACAGTCTTTTCAAGAACACACAGAACATTTACAAAGACAGATCTTATTCTGGACCATCTAATGTCTCATTCATAAAATTTCTGGAATAGGAATAACCATGGAGACAGAAAGCAGATGAGTGTTACTGGGGCTGGTATTAGGAGCAAGAATTGACTAAATTACCACAAGGAAACTTCTGGGGATGATAGAAGTACCCTAAAACTGGATTTTGGTGATGGCTGCACAACTGTATAAGTGTACAAAAAATCATCGAACTGTATTCTTACAATGGTGAGACTGCATATGTCAATAATATCTAATAAAGCTGAAAAAACAAAAGGGTATCTCTATTGAGTAACTTCCATTTATATTAATAGATAAAGGTGCAAAAGAACATTAACAGTGTATTCCCTTTGTGTAAGAAAGGAAAATAAGAAAAACATATACAAATTATGTAGATACAGATATACACATATGCTTCACAAAAATTTATTTGAAATGGCTCATAGACCTAAATGTAAAATGCAAACCTATGAAATTCCTAGAACATAGGAAAAAATCTAGGAGGCTTTAGGTATGGCAATAACTTTCTAGATACAATACAAAAGGCATGATCCATGAAGGAAAGAATTGATAAGACGGGCTTCATTAAACTTTACAACATTTGCTCTGCGAAAGACACTGTCAAAAGAATGAGAAAGCAAGCCACACGCTGGGAGAAAATACTTCCCAAAGATGTATCTGATAAAGGACTGTCATCCAACTCAACAATAAAAAATGAACAGTCAAACCGATTAACAAATGGACAAAAGCCCATACAGACACCTCACCAAAAAGATATAAAGATAGCAAATAAGCAAACTTCATTATCATATATCATTAGTGAACTGAAATTTAAAAACAAGACTCCACATCTATTAGAATGGTGAAATCCAGAACACTGACAAGACCAAATGCTAGCAAGGTTGTGAAGCAACAGGAAATCTCATTCACTGCTGATAGAAAGCAAAGGATTACGAGATGTACACTATATGCTTGTTGGGTCTCTTCTGGGACCTGTTATGTAAAATGGGCTTACACTTCCACTTAGGACCCATTTTCAAAGTCATTTTCACAGAGAAAATATGAATCAAGAAGGAAAATCTTTTAATAATTTAATGGTCCCATAAGTAAGAAAGTAAATTACTCCTCCAGCACTTTATTCTGCTCAACATGTGCTGGCTTCTGAGTTCCTGCTTCTTTCAGAATGTGGGTCAGTATCAACATTCAGGACCCCAAGGACCACCATCCAAGATTCCTAAAAAGCTGAGGTGCCACGTGGAATATCTTGGAAGATACTCTCTTACAAAACTAAATACAGCAAATTCCCATCGGCCATCTGTTCTACATATGGTAATGTAAGTTTCCACGTTACTCTTTCCACACTCACGGAACTCAAACAGGGGCTTTGTATCAACCTAGAGGGCTGGGATGGGGAGAGAGAGAGGAGGGAGGTTCACAAAGGGGGGACACATGTATACCTATGGCTGATTCATACTGATGCTTGATGGAAAACAACAAAAGTCTGTAAAACAATTATCCTTCAATGAAATAATAAGTTTAGAAAACTTGTTATGCTTATTCACGATCCAGCAATCACACTTAGTATTTAACTAAATAAGCTAAAACATACATGTATCCAAACACCTGCACACAAATGGTTCCAGCAGTTTTATTCATACTTTTCAAAACTTGTAAGCAACCAAGATGTCCTTCAGTAGGTGAACAGATCAACCGTAGTATATGCAGACAATGAAATGTTACTCAGTGCTAAAAAGAAATGAATCATCAAGCCATGAAAAGATACAGAAAACCTTAAGTGCATATTAAGTGAAAGAAGTCAATCTAAAAACCCTATTTTTTTTTTCTTTTGGCCATGCCACACACCACACGGTGGTATCTTAGTTCTCTGACCGGGACCAGCAGTGAAAGTGCCAAGTCCTAACCACTGGAACCATTCAGGGAATTCCCTGAAAAAAACTATTTCTTGATATGAATGATAGTTACACAGATTTTTGCTTTTTAGGAATTTACTAGACTGTTGAACATTTTTTGAGTTCTTTCGTATAACCCAAATTTTAAAAGTCAAACATAAAAACACCAACACTGCTAGAGAGAAATGAACAACTAAATTCATGACTGAAAAACAGAGTAAAAAACATGATATCCTTATGTGAGAGGCCACTGATTAGGTTTTCCAGGTAGGTTTTTAAAATAAAGAAAAAGCAAGTAACTTACAAAAGAAGATTGGCACACAATATAAAGGAAAACAATAGCTTGTCCTTCTCGAATAGTGATCGGCATATATTACAATATAAGTTGTATGTAAAGTGGTCATTTAAATATCTCAGGCGCTTTTCCAAAATTTTGGATTTGTTACTGAAAGGTTAAAAAAAGGAAAATACATTGAGTCAAGTAAAGCTAAGAAAAAATAAGTTACACATGAATTAACATACAAGTTTTATTTTATCAAAATAACCACTGTTAAAAACATGAAACTACACACACACACATACATATACATGAGTGCATATCAAAAAATGGTGAAATCTGAATAAGCTCTCTGGATTGTGCCAATGTAAATTTTCTGGTTGTGATACTCTACTATAGTTGTAGAAGGTGTTATCTTTGGAAGGGAACCCTCATGCACTATTGGTGGAAATGTAAATTGGTACAGCCATTATGAAAAACAGTACAGAGGTTTCTCAAAAAAATTAAAAATAAAACTACCATACAATCCAGCAATTCCACTTCTGAGTATTTACCCCTAAAAAACTCCAAAAAACACAAACTCAAAAGATATGTGTGCCCCTACATATATTGCAGCATTATTGTTTTTCTAACTGAGGTATAGTTGATGTACAGCACAGTAATTCAGATATATACACTTCTAAAAATGTTTCCAAAGTGGATGCACTATATTACATGAGGGTTCTGATGACTTCACATCCTCACCGACTTGCTATTGACATTTATGTCAATTCTTCAGCTTGAATATCCTCCATCATATAGGGTGAGTTAACTCAAATTCCAAATCCCAGCTGGGAAAGCTTAGGGATTTCAATTACTCAGGAAACACTGTTCTACCAAGATCCCATGTAGAACACATACGCTAGGCTCAAATCATATTTTTCTTCTACTTAACAAGTTACTTAATACCAGACATTGTTAAAAATACTTTACAAATATTATCTTTTAATTCTCAAAACAATTCTTAAAGGTAGGTACTATTATTATCCCTATTTTACAGAAAAGGAAAATTGAAGCAATTACAGAAAATATCAGACATTATTAAAAATACTTTACAAATATTATCTTTTAATTCTCAAAACAATTCTTAAAGGTAGGTACTATTATTATCCCTATTTTACAGATAAGGAAAATTGAGGCAATTACAGAAAAGTTAACTGTCTTGCCTGTATTCATGTAGCTATTATATGGCAGAACTGAAATTTAATCCCTTACTCCAGTCTAATTCCAAGATCTGTGTACATTCATTAATTGGTTAAAGTGAAAACATCTAGCAAATGATTAGAAATGTGGAGCTGAAACTTCTTAGGGACCTCAAGGCTGGAGGAAGATAAACTGGAGTTGCTAGCAAAGATAGGTTATTGCCTTAGCAAAATAATTAAAAGAAAGGTGGGGAAAGGACTAAAGCTAATCCCTCTATGCTTATATCTCGAGTAGGAGTGAAATAAAACTTAGAAGAGAGGTCTGCTTGCTTGCTTGCTTCCTTCCTCCCTTCCTTCCTCCTTTCCTTCCCATCCTTCCTTCTTTCTTTCCATCACTTCTTCCTTCATTCCTTCACTTTCCCATATTTTGTAATGATCAACAATGAATATATATTATATAGATAATAAGAAAAGTCATATATTTTAAATGGAAAGGATGGTGAAAATACAACCTAGGGAGAATGAATGACACTAGAGAATGTTTACCTGTCATGAATAGAGTTGATATAAAGGTTCACAAACCAGATGAGAGAGTACTGGTACATGGGATCAATATTAGCCAGGTCTGCAATGCTAAAGAATAACACTGATGAATGTTTAGCAATGGGTCTATAACCTTCTCGAGACTCTGCTATTTTGAGTTCTGTTTTTTCTGCAATCTGCAAGAAGAGAAAAATCAAGATGAAGAAATAGGACATGTATTTTAATTATGTATTTTTCATACAATGAAATTTATATTAAAAATATCCCCTGTTAATGACAAAATTATAGGGGCATGGATTACATGAAAGGGCTTTATAATGCTAACATCTATAAAGAAAGGGAAAGACAAGAAGTAAGGAACTAGGGAGAGAGGGAGGAGAATGAAGACAGAGTGGAAAGAAGGAAGGTAAAAGAAAAATATCTTTACAGATCAAAGGTGTAACTACCCATCTATTATCTCTTTCTTATTTGAGGAAGACAAAGCTGTCAATCTTTGCTTATTCTTTGCCTTAATCTGACATGTATCTACTATTGTTACTCACCCTCTTTCAAACCTAGACAGCATACTATAAAGCAGAGATATCACTTTGCCAAGAAAGTTCCGCATAGCCAAAGCTATGATTTTTCTAGTAATCACATATGGGTGGCAGAGGTGGACCATAAAGAAGGCTGAGTGCCAAAGAACTGATGATTTCAAATTGTGGTGCTGGAGAAGATTCTTGAGAGTCCCTTGGACAGTTAGGAGATAAAACCTGTCAATCCTAAAGGAAATCAACCCTGAATCATTGGAAGGACTGTTGCTGAAGCTGAAGCACCAGTGTTTAGGCCATCTGATGTAAAGAGCTGACTCATTAGAAAAGACCCTGATGCTGTGAAAGATTGAGGACGGGAGAAGAAGAGGGTGACAGAGGATGAGATGGTTGAAAGGCATCAGCAACTTAATGGACATGAGTTTGAGCAAACTCAGGGAGACAGGGAAGGACAGGGAAGCCTGGTATGCTACAGTCTATGTGGTTGCAAAGAGTCCAACATGACTCAGCGACTGAACATCCTCTTTTATTTTAATAGGTCAGAGACAGAGGGAGAGAGAGAGAGAGAGAAAGTGTGTATGCATGTACGGTTTAAGGCACCAACATGTTACCAGAACCCAGCACAAAGTCTAGCAAAGCAGGAATTCAGAAGTATTTGTTGGCTGTTTATTTGTTGTTCTTGTTACATTAAGAACACCTTTTTTTTTTCAGTGAGATTCTCATAATTTTAACTTTTTCTAATAGGGGTATAGATAGATAGTCAACCTCTAAAAGAAAAAAAGAATTCTTCAAGTCAATCATTATTCCAATGACAACTCAGTATGATAGGTTGATATTCTACAGGAAAAACATATAGAGCGCTTTTCCAACCCACTCTCCTTTCTTTGAACATGCTATCCACAGACTCTGCTGAATAAGCTGCCTATGTAGCCATGTTTATACTGAATGATCCTGTTTTCAGCTGATTCAATCAGGTGGTAGGGACAGAACCAGACCCAATATAAGCTAATACATTTTCCCTACAGAGAATTAGATCTTCAGGAGCATAAAAAACTGAAATCAGGTGGTGCTCAGCCTTAGAGCTAAAAGGTAATGGTATCAGAGTTGGTTTCTAGGTGCAAGATAAAATTACAAAGTAACAGTACAGAAATTTTACAGAAAAGAACTTAGTCTCCAGATGGAGCAGAAAGAAGCACGTATGAGGACCCACACAACCTTAGAGAAAAGGAGAGGCAAAGAGCATAGAAATTTAATACTTTCCCTTCATTCCTGAGGCCTACATGTACTTCCTACACCTGGGAAAATAAAATATCCCCGATTTGAGTGGGTTTGTGTTCCTTACAAGCAAACTTTTCCCCAAATTACAGTATAATAGCAATTAAAAGTAAGTTTTGAAGCTCCACCTTGACTATAAGTAAAACAAAGTTATCAACAATGGAAATGAATGACATCTTTACAAAAGAAAGCATGATCTTAGTATTCTCATTTAAATCTTGTTATTTAACCCTTAATTTTTCAGCTAAGTACTATTTACCACTGCAATGATCAATGCAAAGAAATGATTACTTTTCAGTGATCAATGCAAAAAAAATGATTACTTTGCAGTGATCAGTGCAAAGAAATAGAGGAAAACAATAGAATGGGAGCAACTAGAGATCTCTTAAAGAAAATTAGAGACACCAAAGGGACATTTCATGCCAAGATGGGCATAATAAAGGACAGAAATGGGATGGTCCTAACAGAAGCAGAAGATACTAAGAAGAGGTGGCAAAAACTATACAAAAAAGAACTTCATGATCCAGATAACCACAATGGTGTGATCACTCACCTAGAGCCAGTTATCCTGGAGTCTAAAGTCAAGTGGACCTTAGAAAGCATCACTACAAACAAAGCTAGTGAAAGTGATGGAATTCCAGATGAGCTATTTCAAGTCCTGAAAGATGGTGCTGTTAAAGTGATGCACTCAATATGCCAGCAAATTTGGAAAACTCAGCAGTGGCCACAGGATCGGAAAACGTCAGTTTTCACTCCAATCCCAAAGAAAGGCAATGCCAAAGAATGCTCAAACTACTGCACAATTGCACTCATCTCACACGCTACCAAAGTAATGCTCAAAATTCTCCAAGCCAGGCTTTAACAGCATGTGAATTGAGAACTTCGATACTCAAGCTGAATTTAGAAAAGAAAGGAATCAGAGATCAAAATGAAAACATCCGTTGGATCATCAAAAAAGCAAAAATGTTCCAGAAAAACATCTGCTTTATTGACTATGCCAAAGCCTTTGATTGAGTGGATCACATCAAAATGTGGAAAATTCCTAAAGAGATGGGAATACCAGACTGCCTGACCTGCCTCCTAAGGAATCTGTATGCAGGTCAGAAAGCAACAGTTAGAACTGGACATGGAACAACAGACTAGTTCCAAATAGGAAAAGGAGTACATCAAGGCTATATATTGTCACCCTGCTTATTTAACTTATATGCAGAGTACATCTTGAGAAATGCTGGACTGGATGAAGCACAAGCTGGAATCAAGATTTTGGGGAGAGATATCCATAACCTCAGATATGCAGATGACACCACCCTTATGGCAGAAAGTGAAGAAGAACTAAAGAGCCTCTTGATGAAAATGAAAGAGGAGAGTGAAAAAGCTGGCTTAAAACTCAACATTCAGAAAACTAAGATCATGGCATCCGGTCCCATCACTTCATGGGAAATAGATGGGGAAACAGTGGAAACTGTCTAACTTTATTTTTCTGGGCTCCAAAATCACTGCAGATGGTGACTGCAGCCATGAAATTAAAAGATGCTTGCTTCTTGGAAGGAAAGTTATGACCAACCTAGACAGCATATTAAAAAGCAGAGTCATTACTTTGCCAACAAAGGTCCATCTAGTCAAAGCTATGGTTTTTCCAGTAGTCATGTGTGGATGTGAGAGTTGGACTATAGATGAAGCTGAGCACCGAAGAATTGATGCTTTTGAACTGTGGTGCTGGAGAAGACTCTTGAGGGTCCCTTGGACTACAAGAAGATCCAACCAGTCCATCCTAAAGGAAATCAGTTCTGAATATTCCTTGGAAGGACTGATGCTAAAGCTAGAATGCCAATACTTTGGGCACTGATGGGAAGAACTGTCTCATGGAAAAGACCCTGATGCTGGGAAAGATTGAAGGCAGGAGGAGAAGGGGACGTCAGAGGATGAGGTGGCTGGATGGCATCACCGATTCAAAGGACACGAGTTTGAGTAAACTCCGGGAGTTGGTGATGGACAGAGAGGCATGGTATGCTGCAGTCCATGGGGTCGCAAAGAGTCGGACATGACTGAGCTACCGAACTGAACTGAACTGAACCATTTACCATTAACGGCAACAAGAAGCAAAAACATTTAGCAAATATTGTTATTATTTTTAAAGAGTAAATAATAATTTAACTCAGGTTTCCAAGGCTTGCTCTATAGTATGTTTATAAATAGCATTATATTTACATATACTTGAACCCTTAGTATGAACACATACAGATTTTTTATTAATTATCATTAATAACCTAAAATCAATTTGTTGTTTTCTAACAAATAAACACTGTGAGCATATGATGTTAAAAAACTGAAGTGTGAAATTTGCTAAGAGGAGAATTTATTATCTGTAAAAATTTCCTGATATTTATATAGTAATATTTATATATAATTATACTTTCCTAGAATCCACCAGACTATACTTCAGTCATGATGACTTTTGTGGGGGGAAACTCTGCAACCTATAGAACAAATCCTTTTGCTTGTGTTTGTTTGATCTTATGGATTGGGATAAAATGGAAAGTTGGGTTTTAGACTATGTGCAAAGACTTGCTGTGAAGATGTGTTTTCTGACATTGAGTGGGTGGAATAGAAGTCATGGCCAGATACAGAGCAAGTTTTGAATCAAAATATATAGTGATTTCTAAATTATGTTTGTAAAGATCAACGAGACCTAGTCAAAAAGACATGATTAAATTTCTCTCTTTGTAAGATAAAGTATTTGAACAAATAAATATTGGTATCTACTTTCCTCTTTGAGCCTAATAGAAAATAAGCTGATAAATGCTTCCTGTCTTTCCTTTCCCTTTGAAAAAACATGTGGTGAGAGCAAAGTGAGGAATGGGTTCTGTTCTAATAGATGGTAATTGGGAAGGCAGACATTATCGAATATCTCAGCCACGGTCCCTAGATGAGAGGCTACTCTAAGACACTGCTCCTTTTGGCTCTCTTGAAATGAAAAACACAAGCACAAAGCAAAACAGTACACCCAAAGAGAGTCATTTCCATCACATTCACATAAAACTAAACCCATCCCAAAGGGAAGTCCCCTATCCAAAACTGGGGTGAGTAAGGTAGTGTGCAAACCGAAGGATGCCGAGCAATTAGTGAAATTTCTACTTAGGATTCTTTTTATTTTTTAATTATCCCAGTATTAAAAATATGTTTAGTTCATTGGGTGGTCCAAAGAGGATAGAAGGGTCTGAAAATCATTAAAGTAAGCCTACTGAAGTCAGTCTGTATTATCATTTCATTGTGTAAACTTGGGCCTTACATACTTTTTCTGGGCCCTACTTTTCTCAACTATGAAATGCTAAAATGACTAACAGTTAAGGCCCCTTTAACCTGTAACACTAGGATTTTATTTTTTTTAAGACAATGTAAAAATACCATTTAAAAAAAATTTTAAAAATAAAAATACCATTTGGCTGCATTAGATTAACTTGCAACAAATATGCTATTGTGTGAGTCTTCCTTCCTCTCCCTGCCACTCCCAACTCTCACACCTCCTCCCTCTCAGACACATGACGAGGCAACATCAGAGGAACATCCTCATCAGCTCCTAGAACCACTTACTGTCCAATTAACCGGCAATGACCTCATACATCTTAAGTTTCAACCAGGAACAGAGGCAAGCCAAGCTCTCAAACTGAAGTTTTAGGTGAGGAGTCAATCAAAACTTGAATGAACCTGACTTGCTTACCTTACCTATGGTGGCGGTTATGGAACAACAAAAATTACACTAAAACTTTTTTTCATTCCAAATTTATTTCTTCTATTTACAGGTACCACATAGATGAAAAAACAGGTTTTGAATGATTCAACACTAAGAGATATTCTCTTATGAGTTTAAAACTAGTTTATGTGCTGTGGTGTTTTATGAATTATTTTCCTCCTCCCATAAGCCTACTACAGCACTTTACACAGGAAGTGGGAGCAAGCTGGACTCCAAAGAATCAAGAAAATTTCTAGGATTCTTTTTTTACCTGCTGTTTCTTGGTTATCTCGTTGGACATCAACTTAGCAGAGTCTAAGATTTTAATTGCACTTTCATCCTCTAAAATGTTTCCTTCTGAAGATGATAATGTTTCTAAAATTTTTTTCTCTATATCTTTCAGCTGTTTCTTATTAGCTGCAGACTGCAGAATCAGAGCATTTCGTTCCTCTTCTAATTCCGGTCTAAAAAGATGAAAACATTTCACCTAAATTTGTAGTATTTTATGTAAATATTAGACATCACAATTTTGTAGGCATTTAAATGTAACAATTTTGCAGACACATAACACAAATTAAGGTGATTAACCTCTTTATCTTAAGGAAAAAATATTTACATGAAAATGATAATTTGAGAAATTCAAGCCAAAAAAAGCATTAATTATAAATATGTAAAATGCAGCAATAATATATACTATGTTAAGTCTAAAAACATGTTAGGTTTATCCTTATGGCTTAGCTCATTGTGTGAGAATAAGAGCTGGAAAAGACACTAAGAATACGAAACTTTCTATTCCTTGGCTTAATCATATTCAGTCTCATTTTTATCATCTCTTCTACAATAGCAGACACAGAAAAGATGACTCTTCATCCAAAAGATCATACAAAAGATGACTCATCATCCAAAAGATGACTCATAATGGCTCAAAGTAAAAGACAGAACTGGCACTTAATACCTTAACAAAGACGGTATGAAACTTCAAAAACATAATACATGTTATAGAATATGTTATGACATGATTCTGTCTTAGATAGTATGCAAGAGGGATAAATACTGAAAGTAACTAAAGTACCTCATGGTACATATTTTCACTTATAATTTGATTTCATTTAATTGACTACTTGATAGTGTTATATTAAGCTTCAAGTTGAGTCAAAGATTTCCTTCAGGAAGCAATTCTTTTTTTTTAAATAGTTATTTATGTGGCTGTGCTAGGTCCTAGTTGCAGCATGTGGGATCTAGTTCCCCGACCAGGGATAAAAGATGGGCCTGCATTGGGAGCTTATAGTCTTAGCCACTTGAAGGGAAATCCCAGGAAGCAATTCTCTACTAGTAGCCCTTCCAGGGATCATAATATTTTTTCTCATTTAAAAAAAAAAACACATGCAAGTAATGGAAAAATACATAAAGAAAATAATGAGTTATCCATAACCTTACCATTCCTAAGGATTATCACTATTAATATTCTGGTGTATTCTTTCTCAATCTTTTTTTCATATATATATATGGATATCCATTCATGTATTAACTTTTGAAAAACAAATTATCCCTATCATATATAGTTTTGTATCCTGCTTTTTCATTCTTGTCCTAAGTATTTTCTCATTTCATTAATATTCTGTATATGTCTTTGAACACATTTCTGATTTTGTCCAAAACATACATTTCAAGAAATGAAATTTTTTGTTTCAAACAATCAGATATAAGTCAAAAGTCATGGCACATCACCTAAGTCCTCCTAATATAACATGGTTGGCTTATAACTTATTTGTTATAGAATGATTGTTTTAAAGAATTCTATATTTGTTTAATTTATAATGACAAAGGAAATCAAACCAGTGCATCCTAAAGGAACTCAATCCTGAATATTCACTGGAAGGACTGATGCTAAAGCTAACGCGCCAGTACTTTGGCCACCAGATGTGAAGAGTCAACTCATTAGAAAAGACCCTGGTGCTGGGAAAGACTGAAGGCAAGGGAGAAGAGGGCAGCAGAGAATGAGTTAGTTAGATAGCATCACTGACTCAGTGGAAATGAACTTGAGCAAACTCCAGGAGACAGTGAAGGACAGGCAAGCCTGGCATGCTGCAGTTCACAGGATCGCGAAGAGTGGGACACAACTTAGTGAATGAAAAATAACAATAAAATTTAGACAAAGTTTCGGAATAATCACATAACAAAAGTATTCAGTTCAGTTCAGTCACTCAGTCATGTCCGACTCTTTGCAACCCCATGGACTGCAGCACTCCAGGCCTCCCTGTCCATTGCCAACTCCTGGAGTTTACTAAACCTCATGTCCATTGAGTCAGAGACGCCATCTAGCCATCTCATCCTCTGTTGCCCATTCTCCTCCCGCCTTCAATCTTTCCCAGCATCAGGGCTTTCCCAAGGAGTCAGTTCTTCACATCAGGTGGCCAAAGTATTGGAGTTTCAGCTTCAGCATGTCCTTCCAGTGAATATTCAGGACTGATTTCCTTTAGGATGGACTAGTTGGATCTCCTTGCAGTCCAAGGGACTCTCAAGAGTCTTCTCCAACACCATAGTTCAAAAGCATCAATTCCTGGGTGCTCAGCTTTCTTTATAGTCCAACTCTCACATCCATACATGACTACTGGAAAAACCATAGCTTTGACCAGATGGACCTTTGTTAGCAAAGTAATGTCTCTGCTTTTTAATATGCTGTCTAGGTTGGTCATAACTTTTCTTCCAAGGAGCAAGCATCTTTTAATTTCATGGCTGCAGTCACCNTAATGTCTCTGCTTTTTAATATGCTGTCTAGGTTGGTCATAACTTTTCTTCCAAGGAGCAAGCATCTTTTAATTTCATGACTGCAGTTAACATCCACAGTGATTTTGGAACCCCCTAAAATAAAGTCTGTCACTGTTTCCACTGTCGCCCCATCTATTTGCCATGAAGTGACGGGACCAGATGCCATGATTTTAGTTTTCTGAATACTGAGCCTCAAGCCAACTTTATGGCCTACAAATATTCTTTTCTAGAGTATCTGAAAGTATCTAAGAAAATACATACCTCTCCTTTGCAACAACAATACCAAGTAATTGATCTTCAAGTCCTTCTGGAGTTATCATGAAATTGAGCAAAGATACCTTTGTAGCCAGCTCTGGCATATAATGTGGATTTCTCAACTTTGTGGTGATATAAAACTTGAAATCAAAGGAATACTCAATAATGACCTCACCAAGTCTGATGCAATCAATGCCACCTGTATTTCAGAGAAAAATGCATAATAAATAAGCCAAAGTTACATAGCCCTTCCCTTTCTGTTAAAACCCATCCTAGGTTACAAGTAAAACATCATAAAGTAATTTCAAATAGAATACAAGTGTTGCAAAAGTTACAGACACAGAGGCAAAGAAGCAATTATACAGCATGAATCATTAATTCTGGGGTAATATAAGATATTTTTTCTGGTTGTCATGGAGCCTTCTAAATTAAGATTCCTTTTGATCTTACTTCCTCTATTAATTTTCAATAACAGTTCCAAAATTATTTATATATGACTAAAGGTCTTTGTTGGAGAAGACTCTTGAGAGTCCCTTGGACTGCAAGGAGATCCAACCAGTCCATCCTAAAGGAGATCAGTTCTGGGTGTTCATTGGAAGGACTGATGCTGAAGCTGAAACTCCAATACTCTGGCCACCTCATGTGAAGAGCTGACTCATTGGAAAAGACCCTAATGCTGGGACGGATTGGGGGCAGGAGGAGAAGGGGACGACAGAGGATGAGATGGTTGGATGGCATCACCAACTCGATGGACATGGGTTTGAGTAAACTCCGGGAGTTGACGATGGACAGGGAGGCCTGGCATGCTGCGATTCATAGGGTAGCAGAGTCGGACACGACTGGTCAACTGAACTGAACTGAACTGAAAGCTCTTAAAAAACTAGAGTTTGACAGAGAATAAATTTTATAAGCAGAAAGATATACAAGGTGGACAATGTTTACCGAAGGCTAACTCTGGTCCACATTAACCATTACTATTCATAGTAATGGACTTTGTGTGGTCCTTGGTCATAAGATATAGGAATTTCAGGTTGGATTCAACTTCTGTGTGTTCTCTACCGAACAACAATCTAAATAACAGTGACTAAGGCAATCAAAGGAAGTCAAGGTATTTATTTTAGAATATATGGTAATTATTAAAATTTCTTTTCATGCATAACAATGACACAGAAGTTCTGCATTATTAAATTATTAAAATTATGTAGTAGTTTTCTTCCCTCAAAGATAATCCAATCATCTTTCAGTTCTAGCAACTAATATCAATTGACTTCTACCTTGTTTAAAAGTTTGTCTAAGTAGCAAAGGTTCCAATGATGGATCCAGTTCTTCACCAACATTTTCCAACAGAAGTGGAGTTCCAAATTGAATACAGTTTTCCAGTGTTCTCATATAGTCTGCATCTGATAGCTTAATAACACTAAGCTGATTTTCTTTCTCAGAGTTTTTGATCCACTTATTGGCTTGACCCTGGGGATCAATCATTAAAGGCCTAAAATATAATAAGAAAAAATATGAGGGGACTAAATAGATGTTGAGATTTATCTAAAATTATATATTTTAAATAATAAACATCACCATCAATCTATACAAAGTGTTTCACATACATTATCAGGATAAATCTTCACAAAAGTTCTGTGAGGAAAAGGAAAAAGGAGTTTCATTCTCATTTATTTTTGAAATGAAGAAATTAAGTATTTTGCCCAAGGTTTTAAGGTTAAGAAACTAGTTTAATGTCAGAAGTAGGATCTTATGAATGTATAAGCTGTGCTTTTTGCAATTTAACACATGGTCTTCATAGTAATTATAACACATATCATCTGTTAACATAATATGAAAAATAATCCTATGTATCTGATAAGAATTTAGAATAAAAGATCTACTGGGCTATAATGGATTTCCTTAGGTTATGAGTAGAACCATAAACTAAGTTTCCAAGGTTAGTCTAGTATATATTTGAGATCTATTTAGGAAATTTTTTCTATGTAAGTATGGTAAAAGACTTTGTGTTCAAGAACATACAATTCAGTTTCAAAGAATCAATATATTAGGTGCTTTCCTCTTCCTTATTGATGATACTGACTGTCCTGGATTCCTTTTGTATTCAGTACAATGCATTAAAATATTTTTTAAAATATTAACACAGAAAGGGGAATTTTCACTTCATATTACGTTGGCTTTCCCAGACATTCTCCTTCTATTTCAACAGTTTCTAGGGATAAAAATCCCCTTTCCCTCAGCCTAAAAATAAGCTCTTTCATCAACTAATCCCAGATAACTCTTTTCTTTTATTTTCTTTCCTTTCCAAAAGACAAAACAATTCAACAACAGCTGTATGGATGATTTCTTTCTCCACTCAAATTGTGCTGAAATCCTATTGAAAACATAAGAAGTCCAGATACCAGTTAAAATACAGCAAACAGATGAAAAGTATTCTGGAAATGAGAAAGTTATTTTGCACACAATTGTTTAAAAGTTGCTAGTAGTTAGACTAGATGCTTTTAGTACCTTTCAAAGTCCTGTTTAAAGGGACATTTTTTCCCCTACTTTTAAAAAAATTTTTAATTTTATTTTTTATTTATTTTTTAAAAATTAGGCTAATTACTTTACAATATTGCAGTGATTTTTGCCATACATTGACATAACTTTATTATTGGAAAAAATATGGTATTTGTTCATTCCCCTACAAAAAGTAATAATTTCTGTAAATTAAGTTTTTCTAATGCTTATGTTCAAATCAATGGACATGAGTTTGAGTGGACTCTGGGAGTTGGTGATGGACAGAGAGGCCTGGTGTGCTGCAGTCCATAGGGTCACAAAGAGTCAGACGTGACTGAGTGACTGAACTGAACTAACTGAATGCTTATCTTGGTAATACCTAAATCAATCAATGTTCTCAGTAATGCAATAATTGGAGATCTTGGTTTTCTAAAAGAAATCCAACTCCTACTTAATACAATTTCATGTGAGTATTACAAATACAATCGGAAAACTGAGTTGTGTGTCTATCCGAAAAACAAGGCCATGCAGGGTTTTGTATCCCATGTGTACCTGACTGAAGGTATGAGAGTAATACTCATCTATGTTTGAGATCCAAAAGCAGGGCAGTCTAAAGAAAAAATCATTACTGATTTATGCTTCTAACAGCGGTAGTAATTTCGGGGAAAACATAGCTTTGCTGTTAAGTAGCAAGTGTTGTACCAGTAAACAATAATAAAGAAGAAACAGTAAGCATTTTCATTGTGGTTAAAAAGTAAGCAAAGTCAGAATTTGAGATATAGACACTAAAATGAGGTATTTGAAGAAAATAATTATTTTTAAAAACTAACAGTTACTGAGCACTTATCACATGCTAAGCACTTTCTTGGGCTTCCCTGGTGGCTCAGATGGTAAAGTGTCTGCCTGCAACAGGAAGTGGAAGACCTAGGTTCGACCCCTGGGTCAGGAAGATCCCTTGGAGAAGGAAATGGCAACCTACTCCAGTACTCTTGCCTGGAAAATTCCATGGACCTACAGTTCAAGGGGTCGCAAAGAGTTGGACATGACGGAACAACTTCACTTTCTTTCTCAAGCACTTTCTTAAAATTTACAATGAGTTTGAAGCTACTATTTATCCCTATTTACAGATGGGGCACTACTCTCATTTCAAGAGAGAAAATAAGAGAGAAATATTTGACTCCAAATATCCTGATAGCAGAGTCTACACTACTCTCAACCACTGTGTAATATTATAAACAGAGAAACCTTTAGAAATTATGAGCAAGCACAAGAAGAATTAATCATCAACTATAGTTCCAGCAGCATGAGTAGCTAAGTAACCGATAGAATTCCTTCTGCTACCAAGTACTGGTGGATAAAATATGACATTTCAAAAATACATAGGTGACATACATTTGAACTAAACATACATAAGGATGGAAAAACACAAGTGCCAGAAAAATATCTTTGTATGTGTGAGCTGAAATGACAGCTAGCCCTGGGGACAGTGTCAGTACTAATAACTTAAGGGCTCCTTGAACCCATATGTAGCAGGAAAGTAAAACTGAAATCCCTGTATTAAGCTTAAACCCACAGAAGTCTTCGTGAATCATAGAAAAAAATCCAACTTTATTCATAAGGAGACAAGAAAGAAGTGTTCTGATTCTTGTCTCATCTTCAGCTTGGAAAAAGTTCTCTGAGAACCTATAACCATGGGACAATAGTTTATGCAGGTTCAAGGGGCAAGTTTATACTATGTACATGATACAGGAAATTCCAGCTGGGAAACTTACATATATTGAGCCAATAACACTGGTATGAATCCAGGAAGAAGTAAGGACAAAATATACATTGTAGCTGGGGCAAGAGCAAAAGAAAAACTCAACCCTTGGAGGAGAGGTAGAAAAATGTCTTTGGCTAAAACATACCTTTACCAACCTTCACTAAGCAGAAATCCCTTAACTCTAGGAGGGGGTGTGAAACTCCTGTTCAAGACCAGCCAAGGCAGAATGCAAACTTAGCTGTCACAGGGAGGAGGGCCAGCAGGCTGAAAATATCCTAACGAAGGCCCAATATGCACAGGGCCTTCCTAAGACTAGGAAATCAGAGTAACAGACAACTCTCACTTTGCCCCCAAAACAGCCTAACATGGAGTACTGAGCAAAAGCGATCTACCTCTAGGGGAACAACAAAAACAGAAAGAGACCCTGTCTGTGTCATGGGCATACAGGAACAGTTGAAAGTTGAAGGTAAAACTCTTAACACTGAGAAAAACACTCCAGAAAGCTATCCCTCATTCTCAGCATAGACCCATGGTTAGATTAAGTTGACACCACTGGTCCCCTGAACTTTACTGGAGTAACAACAAATTGTGCAACTCAATTCAAACCTAGTTCAACTGATGGTTAGACTGACTCAAACCTCTGTACTAATGGAGAGACAGAAGAGGCATGCCCATTTCCAGGAGTTAATATAACGCTCAGTTCCTACTGGTAGACTGAAAATACCTTGCATTCAATCAAATATGAGATATTTAGATAAGCATGGGAAAAAACTCAAACCATTCTCAAGAGACAAAAGAAACTAACAGAAACAGCCTCAAAGATGACACAAACACTGGAAATATTAGATATGTAGTTTTATTAAATAACTGTGTTTAAAATGTAAAAGAGCCAGTGAAAAAACTGGATGACATGTCTCAAGAGACAACCATCAGCAGAGATGAACTATAAGGAAGAGTTAAATGGAAATACTAGAAATAAAAAATACGTAAACTCTATAGAATTTATTTCATGGGCTGCATAGACCCAATACAACTAAGGAGACAGTCAGTTAATACAGTTATGAACTTGAAGATAGTTTTATAGAAATTATCCAATCTGAAACTCGAAAAAAAAAAAGTGGTTAAAAGCAGAAAAGGGCATCTGAAAGTTTTGGGTCATACCAAAAAGACTCAAATGTAAGTTTTCTTCCCAGAAAGAGAAAAGGGATAAAATGAAGTAGATCTCAGAAGCTCAAAGAACCTCAGTCAGGAGAACTACAAAGATGAACACACACACTCCAATATACTCATACATCACAATCAAACTGCAGGCAACTAAAAACAGAAAGAAAAAAAAAAAAAACTAAAGCCTGTCAGAGGGAAAAAGTTACAGAAAAAGGAACTAAAATTAGAGCAGGCTTATCAGAAACTAGGCAGTCTAAAAACAATGGAGTGACACCTTCGAAGGAAAAAAAGCAAAACCAGAAGAATCCAAAAACTGTCAACTCAGAATTCTAAACCCAGCAAAAAATATCTTTCAAAATGAAGATGAAATAAAGAAATAAAAAAGCTGACTGAATTAATTGCAATAGATCTATACACTGAAAATGTTGAAAGATATTTGTCAGGCAGAAAAAATATGAAATCAGATAGAAACATAAAGAAATAAATAAGTCTAAGGGAATTTCCTGGGGGTTCAGTAGTTAGGACTTGGGGTTTCACTGTTGTGACCTAGGTTCAATTCATGGTTGGGGGACTGAGTGGCTGCAAGCCATGCAGTGCAACTGAAAAAAAAACAACTCAAACTAAAACGGGGGAAAAAAAAGGAAACATAAAAGACATTTTCTTATATTTAATCACTCTAATTACTGTCTAAAGTAAAAATAGTAACAATGTGTTATGGGATTCACGGCATGAAAAGTTTCCAAAGTAAGGTTTCCAAAGAATATAAACAAACAATACCTCAAACTTTCAGAATATAAGATTTCTTTGTATCTTTACCGTATCTTATATCCCAAAAGAAGACTGAAACTTCCAATACAGTTTTAAAGGTAGTAAATGTGATATCCCATTCCACATTTCACTTAACATAATAAGTAAGAATTAGGATTTGGAAGTTAAGTTGCCTGGGTTCAAATTCTGATTATACCATTTATTAGCTCAGTTATCTCACTAAATTTCAAATTACTAATTTATTCTGGGCCCCAGCTGTCTCATTTATAAAATGGAATAATAAGAACTAACTCATAGGAATTTGTGAGGATATAAGGCATTTAAAATAGTATCTCATGAATATAAGAACTCAATATTATCCATCATAGTTTGTTTAGCATAAGGTCAAGAAAAGACTTTTATATTAGATGGCAATATGACTAGATAACTATTTACAGGAAAATATCTCTCAGATGAGAATAATTTCCCAAGTTTCCAAAAGTGATATAAATAAAAAGATAATAAAAACCATCTGCAAAGCTCATACAGTTCTCCCACTATGATAGCAGCTATAAAAGATTTACATGAAATTGCATAAATTATTGTTACAGTATCATGAAAATGAGTAGAAATACCTAGCTAAAATCAATACATTGAATAGCTAAGGACTGGAAACAGCCCAAGTGTCCATTAACAGGAAAATACATAAACAATTACGGAGTCATGTAACTGAATAATACTCAGCAACAAAAATTAGTAAGATTATGCTGTGTGGAAAAAGTCTTACACAGAGGGCATACAGTATGATTCCATTTATATGAAGTTCTAGAATAGGCAAAACTAACCTGTGATGGAAAATAATCAGAATAATAATTTCCTACGGGGTGAAGGAGGGAATTTACTGGGATGGGACGAAAAAGACTGTGTTATACCCTGACTCAAACCCTTGCTCAAGTGCATACTTTTGTTAGAACTCACAAGTTTGTGTATTTTTGTATATTTGTATTAAATTTTCTATATTTCATTGTATGTAAATTTTACCTCAAAAGAAAAAAAATATTGAACTTTACTTAATGATATGCATGCTGAAGTATTTGGGAGGAAGTACATCCATGTCTGCAACATATGTAGAAATACATAAAAAAGGATGAGTTGATGGATGGATAGAGGGATGGACAAGAATAATGAAATGTTAACTGCAGGATCTAGGAGGTAGTAGCTATATGGGTGCTTACTCTGAAATCCTTTCAACTTTTCTCTATGTTCAAAAAGTTTCAAATAAAATAATTGAAAAATAAACACTTAATCTTCCTTACCAGCGCCTGGAGTTGTTAACAATCACTCCATTGTCTATGGAGAAAGTATCTGTAGGCAATCCAGCAATATTCCAGGCTCTGATTTTTACTGGATCACCCAAGGTCTTACTCAGTGAGAACTCCTCTGAACACGGGATTTTTTTCTCCTGTTAGAAATACACAGATTTATTTTTGACATTTTCTCTTATCTTGTTGATTAAAATATTTTTAATTAATACATTATTTGTTGTTAGACAGTATTTAATAATTCTAAAGGACTGAAAAAACTGAATGAAAAGTTAGACTATGGAAATATTTTACTGATCAAATAAGAAGAAAAAAACTTCATATTTTCAGTCATTTCTTTCTTTATCTATTTTTATTATCATCCTTTCCCCCCAAATACCCCAACATGTACTTTAAATGTTCTAAAAAGAAACTCTTAAGAAAATATAAAACCATTACCTTGCACAGCATGCTCCAGTCCTCTGTACATGTTTGTCGAAAGCCAGAAGTGAAAGCACCAAGGTAGGCTATTACTCCTGCTGATACTAAGACATCGCCAGTCAGATTTTCATATACTATCTGAAGGTCATCTGCAGCCTGAGACCATCTGGGAGACCAATCAAAGGCAAAACAGCCTCACCAAAGAGAATGATTAGACAGTAATAAAACGGCCAGGGGTTTCTAGTCCAAATTCTATAACAAAATGCCATGAAAAGTTGGGCACTTGCTTATCTATAAAATGAGGAGGTTAGGTCCCTTCTAGCTCTAATATGCTATAACATACAGTTATGTTTTACAAACAATAATTCACTTTTCATTATTAGAATATTATGCATTTCTTATAGGACTTGTTCCTTCAGGATAGGAAAACAGAAACAAAAAAAAAATCACCAGAATTTTGTCTAATAATTTTATTCAGGATGATTTGGCCTAGTGGCCCTGCTATTCGTTTCTGAAAAACAAAGGAACATTTGTAATTCATTACCAAAAACTACATTTAAGTTGTATAGCAGTTGGCATACTATAGCTAAGGTTGGTATCTTTTTCCATTTAATGAAACTTTTACTGAAAAAAGTTCATTTCAAAACCATCTAATTTGCACTATGAAGTATTGTCAAAAGTATGCTACTTTATCATGCTATTCATTCAACAAATTCAATTAATAGCTATGATAGTTGGCTGACTAGTATAAATAGATTAGAATAAAGCTAACTGGCTTTGTTATATCAAGTCAGTTATTTAAAATAAATTTAACAAAATGAACCATATATTCACTGCTCCCTTCCAAACACTTTATTACAAAACACTTGAACATAAAATTGGAAAGAACTGCACAGTGATCATCCACATACTCACCACTAAGATTAAAACTTATCTTTGGCCTTATTTGCCTCTTTCTCTCTCACTTTTAACATTTGAAAGCAATTTGCAAACACCATCCTTGACACTGAAATTCTGTTCGGAGAAGCCTAGCCAGGTGCTTTATAGAAAGTCCCACATTCTCAACCAGCAATTTAAAAATCAGTAATCAAAATAAACAACTCACTCCAGTATTCTTGCCTGAAAAATCCCACGGACAGAGAAGCCTGGCAAGCTACAGTCCATGAGGTCACAAAGAGTCGGATACGACTGGAGCGACTGGGCATGGCATGGCATGGCAATCATAATAAATACCCAAAGAGAGTTGCATATTCAAGCCGGACATTTTAAATCATTGTTAAAATGAGTAGAAATCTGACCTCGATTTTTCTCCACCTAGCCCTCCAATTAGTTTGGAGGCTCTTTCAAGTTTCTTAGCACAAAGTTCCACCTGGTCTTCTAAACGAGCTTTTTCCTCAGTTTTCTCAAGAAATACTCTTTCTAAATTTTCCAAATGATGTTCTACTTCTGCTAGTTCTGCTCTCTTCTGATTCAAAAGCTCCATCGTCTCAGCTAAGGACTTCTGAGCTTCTGTTAAGCGGGCTTTCTTAGGAGCCACTACCTGTTTGGGAACAGTACACGCAGCTATTAACAGGTACTATGTAACACTGACAATCAATATAATCCTTTATAGATATTGTGAATTTTAAACATTTATTTATGATTAGAAATACATTATTACTTATAAAAATAAATCTTGCAAATTTAAAATGCCTTAAATCTTATATTTTCATATGCAAATAAAGTAAAATACATTTCTATATCTTATAAAATATATAACATCATCATGGACCAGCAAACTTCATCTATAAAATAGGCAAGTTACTCTAATAATATGTCACAATATGTAGCAAAACAGCATGATATGTAGCAAAATATCTCAATACAATCAGGAGTTGCCTTTGAACTGTCGCAAAACAGAAAAACATGTAACAGAAATGACAAACGCTTAACAATACAAGAATGTGCTGCTTTTTTTTTTTGGCATTTCTAAGGTTTTGATTTCTTTCCCAGTCAGCTGAGGATTACATTTGCCTTGAGGAGATTAAGACAGTAGCAGTAATACACAGAGAAATAAAGACTTGGTATTTAGCTTCACTACCAAAATTGAATTTCCCTCAACAAATTGTGAAAAGTGATGCTTTGTTGAGAGAAAAACAATTTTCTAAAGTTTTTATTTTACTATGCTCAACAGTATATGAAGAATGGGGTATGGCAAACTTGGTTAGAGTGTACTATAATGTTTCAAATAGAGAGTATATGTCCATTTGAAAGAAGGGAGACCTAAGTCTACTGACACATTGCCCTGAGTGAGCTGAAGGCTAAGAGGAAGACTGAAGCAAAGAATCAGATAGGATTGACCTGCTTTCTCTCCTCAGGGCAGAAATCCTGAAGGGAGAACGTGGGATGTTTCAAGAGAACAGCATCGAAACATGTATATTATCTAGGGTGAAACAGATCACCAGCCCAGGTTGGATGCATGAGACAAGTGCTCGGGCCTGGTGCACTGGGAAGACCCAGAGGGATTGGGTGGAGAGGGAGGTGGGAGGGGGGACCGGGATGGGGAATACATGTAAATCCATGGCTAATTCATTTCAGTGTATGACAAAAACCACTGCAATGCTGTAAAGTAATTAGCCTCCAACTAATAAAAAGAAAAAAAAAGAGAATGTGTTAAATAAAAATTAGGAAGCTCTTGTTCCTACTTTGGACTTTACAGAAGAGCTTGCTGGATATCTCCCTTCAACCTTTGCATAACAACACGAGGCAGGAGCATTGGAATTAAAACAGTGTGGAGATACAGGGTGGGAAGTCAGAAAAGAACCTGAACACCTTAGATTCTCTGCTTTATAGAAAGAATCCAGAATATTCCACATGTTTTGTGGGACATGCAGAAACAGGCTGAGTTGACAGCTTGCAGACCTGTTGGGATTACTATGGGGAGGGACAAGATGTTCAAATGGAAGAACATTCAGATAGAATTAATTTTATTCTTTAACAGGTGTATACTGGTCTACTCCTCTGAAATGAATGAAGTCCATACCTCTCTACAAGCATGTATGCCTCATTAGGAATATTTTCAATTGTTACAGCCTGATTGCTCATTCTTTACTCTAAGGTTTTTCTAAACACATAATATCATGTATTTCCATGGGCATTTTTATTTACATTTTCTGCTCCCCTTGGTAGAATTTTGCAAGTTACAGAGGGCAAGGCCAGTGCTTCCTTGGTCCTTTGCTAGTCAAATCTGCAAAGTGCTCTTTTTTTTTAATTATTTATTTTTAATTGAAGGATAATTGTTTTATAATATTGGTTTCTGCCATATATCAATATGAATCAGCCATAGGTATACATATGTCCCCTCTCTCTTAAAGCTTTCTCCCACCCCATGCAAAATGTTGTTAACCATTCTCTGCTCTCCTGTAATTTGGCCCCAGGGAGTACTCCAAAAAAACTCCCTATCACTGCTTGAGTCCATGCTTCTCCTCTTAACCCCACTGGAATTTCTTACTTCTGACCTCTGCATTAAGATTTTCATCTGCCACTTGGCCTTTGATGTTTTCGATTTTTCTTTGCTTCTTCTGTCTCCCCATAAAACTTAATTCTCTTTTGCCCCAGGTCCCTGTAACTATAGGTCAGTCTGGCCAGTTCTGTTATCTCCCTGCTCTCCTGTATACTGGTCCCAACTGGTTATGTCACACGTAAGCATTCTCTTCATCCACTAGACACTCAACTAACGTCTGATGCTGTCCATGGAGTGGCAAAGAGTCGGACACGACTGAGCGAGTGAACTGAACTGATTATGCTGGAGCAGGACAAATTCTCTTTTAGAAACTTCTGAACTAGTAAATAAGGGCATAGATTTTTTATTATGAACAAATTTATTTCAATGTTCCTTTTTTCACCAAACATTTGTTAATACAGTGAATTCAAAACACTTTTTTTTTCAACTGAAGAAAGAACTTCAATCCTAAAATGACAGATTTAAAAAAAAACATTTAAAATCACAAACCTTTTTATTAAATATGAGGGGAAATGAGTTAGGCTGAACTCAGCAGAAGCTAACCTTAGAGTTTTCAAAGGCATTGGTTGGTTTAGTCTCTATGCTGTGTCTGACTCTTGTGACCCCATGGACGGTAGTCTGCCAGGCTCCTCTGCCCATGGGATTCTCCAGGAAAGAATACTGGAGCAGGTTGCCATTTCCTTCTCTATTTCAAAGGCATAGATTTTAGTTTATGGGAATATTTCAATAGAAAATGGATGTGCTGATCCTCAAAATACCTTTGCAACTCTGTCATACACTTCCATAGCCATGATCCACTTACACAGACCCTCAGCTGCAGAGGAAGCTTTAGCAACCTTAGGAGGATCAAATTCAGGGTTTGTTAAGTATTCACCACGAATCTTCTGCATAATAGTCACCTGGGAAACAAAGATTTAGATCTTAAAATCTCAACATATACCACACAATCATTAGATGAAAAATTGATCACACATAGTTTAAAAAAGAGTATATAAAACAGTTATGTTGTCTTTAAAAACCAAAGTCAGTACTTTGAGATATTTTTAAAATAAGCATAATTGCAGCAAATTTATTACAGGTAGACAAGATACGTCTTCTAAAAAAATTAAAAGACCTTTGCAGTTCGGGAAAACATGTATGTAAACAAGGAAAAAGAACAACTAAACATAAATAAATAGAAGTTTGGATGAAAAATTATATACTTTTCATCTCAGAAATTTGTGTATCCAATTTGTTAAGAAATAAACTATTATAAGAAGATACTTCGAGAACACTTTCATGTCAATAATACACTAAAACAGTTAATTTATTCAATAACTTTGGATGGTCTGAAAGAGGAGTGGTTTTATACATTATGAGAATTCATAATATAGTCATTAATAAATATTCCTTTACTATTTTAATTCTACTGACACTCTATTTGCTTACATTTTATATAATATTGAAAAATGTTAAAGATTTTATATATCTTGGCAAAATTACATTTATAGAAAAAAATCCAATGAAACTCACCGGAATATTGTCCTTGTCATATTCTCTCAAATCTCTTAAGAAATTCATATCTCCCAGAAGTTTTTTGCTAGGTCCCCAATAATCTAATATCTATAAATAAAATTTACAGAAACATCATATGTACAATTAAATGTTTGATATAAAATTTTTCTTCTTGAGGTTTAAGGTATACTAATCCAGAGAAACTATACATTGAACTTTCAAAATATCTACTTACATGTCCTTGGAAATGAAATGAAGAGACTCCTCTCTCTGAGAACATGTTAAGTATAACAAAGATTTAAAATAAGCATATGAATTTATATATTATATATTGAACTTATTATTAAAAATTAAACATTGAGGGTTTCCCTGGTGGTCCAGTGGTTAAGAGTCCATCTTGCAACGCAGAGGACAGGGGTTAGATCCCTGGTTTGGGAGGATCCCACATGCCACAGAACAACTAGGCCCGTGTACCACGACGTGAGTACTGAGCCTGCGCTCTAAAGCCCTTGTTCCACTAGAAGAAAAGCCACTGCAACGAGAAGCCTGTGCACCACAACTAGAGAAAACCTGTGCATAGCAACAAAGACCCAGCACAGCCCAAAAAATAACTAAAATTTTTAAAAGTTTAATTAAAAAAAAAAAAAAAAACACTGACAGGCAAAAAAACATGATCACTTATTTTTAGAAAACTTAAGAAAAGCAGCTGGTACAAATACTATCAAAATTTCATCTAAGAAAAAATATTTTTATTATTTCAACTTTTATTTTCCTTTAACTTGACTTTCAAATCATAAAGGTAGTGCTATAAACTGAAAGTCTGTGTCCTCTCCCCAGATTCCTATGCTAAAACCTACTTCCCAGTATAATAGTACTTGGAGGTGGGGGTCTTAGGAACGTGATTAAGTCATGAATGTAATCAGTCCCCTTATAAAATAGAGGGCAGGGAGCTCCCTCCTATTCCACCATGTGACAACACCACAAGCAGACAGTAGTCTATAAACTGCAACTTGGACCCTCACCTGACACTGAATCTACTGCAGGCTTGATTTTGGACTTACCAGCCTCTAGAAGTGTGAGAAATAAATGTTTGTTGTTGATAAGTGACCCCAATCTATGGTAATTTGTTAGAGTAGCCCAAATGGACTAGGACAGGTAGCAAACATTTTTCTTACAGAAAATTCCCTCACCTACCTAGATTTCCCAAGTGGAATACAGAAAAGAAAGCGGTAAGACAAAGATTACACACTGCTCACTCAGTTATAAGATAAAGCACATGGTGCTCATGCTCATAAAATAAAAAATGTTAAATAACCAGCTGAACATTCTTTTTCTTAATTTCAGAAGCTTGATAGGGGTGTGTGTGTGTGTGTGTGTGTATAAGAATAACTTGATAAGGTAAGAGCCTATTTTTTCATTTTTATTATCTCAATGGAGGACAGAATAGGCCCCCCACAAAAATCCCAATTCTCCAATTCAGGGATTCAAACCTAGGTATTGTAAAAACTTGAAAAGAAAAAGACAAAACCCTGAAAAGAAAATAAGTCTATAAATTTAGTTCAGGATAGATGTTATGCCTTCCTTTTTAAGGGATATACCTTTGAATAACAATAGTAATAATAACAGCTCACGTTTACTAATAAATGTGTAGCATTTATTATCACAGACAGCTTACTGTGTGAAAGGCCTATACGTTAAGAGCTTGGTATGTAGTAACTAATCCAATCCTCAGGTTAACTTTGTGAGGAAAGTACTATGACCATGCTCCTTTTACAGAGTTCCACAGAGGTTAAGCATCTTCCCCAGGGTCACACTGCTAGGAGGGTCAGGATTTCTGAATACAGACATTCTGGCTCCTAAGCACGTAGTTTTAAAGACATCACAGTACCAGTTACCTCAGCAGAATTTCTTAAATGCTTGGAAACAACACCTGTATAACTATGTCACATTCTTGAGGCTCTTATCAAGAAAATCACAGCTATCTCCCTGCTCATTCAACCCCACCCCAGTAGAGTGGCGAATCCTGCATAGCCAGAAAAGGAGGTGGAAGCAACTGCGACCACATTTGTCTGATACTGTACTGGCTTCTGTGGTGGCTCAGAAGGTAAAGAATCCACCAGCAATGTGGGAGACCAGGGTTCAATCCCTGGGTTGGCAACCCACTCCAGTATTCTTGCCTGAAGAATCCCCACGGACAGAGGAACCTGGAGGTCTATAGTTCATGGGGTTGCAAAGAGTCGGACACGACTGAGCGACCAAACACAGCACAGCATACTGCCTTCACTTTACCCTGGAATACATATACAATGTGTCTTCCTCGGACTGGGTACTATTGACATTTAATTTGATAATAGTTGTTGTAAAGTGTTCTGTACATTCATGAATGTGATATAAATCTGTGTCTAGTTATTACCTTGCCTCCAGTTCCTGAAGGATCTGAAATTTTTTCTGGTTTTATATCTTTCATAACACAAACAGCAGCCATAACTAGTTTAACACCAGATGGAGGATTCTTCATTGACTTCACGATTGTAATATCAGCTGGCTAAATCAAAAGAAAACAGGATGCCTTTAGGTCAGTCTATTTGTAAATAATGACAGTTATTTTATAATGTTGGAGAGTAATAATACCACTGATTTTCATGTGAAACTATAATTGTTTTTTGCTCTGTGTGGTTATAAAAAAAAGGTAACAAAAAATTGAAGCACAGTAAATCAATGTTTCTCAAGTATTTGAGAGTTCACAGATCCTTATGAGAATATGATGTCAACTAAGAACATTTCTAATAAAATATTTTTGCACACATACACAAAATTTTTATACAACGATATACGAAGCCCATGCATGGAATCCATCTTAAGATAAAGGCTTAATTCCATATTTGCTTACATATTAGTTTTACCAACCAAAAATGAAAGAAGAGGTACTTTCCAATTCCAAGTTTATTGTCTAAAAAGGCATATATTGTTATGACAGACACAATAGATCCATTTATTTACCATCCTCACCAATATCCTCTGACTTTCCTTGCAATTGCTGGAAAGCTAACAACAATAGCTCTTAGTTTCCGACACAGTTGGAGCTGCAGGAGGTCATTAGGTTCTACCATCAGATCACTTCAGTGATTCTGCAAGATACTGAACTACTGACAGGTTGAGCTTATCATTTTGTCAGGTATTTTACATGAAAGTTAGGGCACTGATTAGGAAAAAAGGAGTAGAGTGGGAACTGGATATCCTGAACTCCCATACTACACTGGGTCTCCCTAGCTAATAGAAGCTCATCTCTCTGATCTGTTTGGTAAAATTATTCTGGTTTTGCCTAAAGACCCTGTAAAGAGAAATATGCAACAGTCTAATGCAGACAGGTGCAACCCACATCTACATTGGGAATGATCTTTAGGTTTTTCTGTACATGCATGACCAGAAGGCTGCAGAGAGGTGACTCCACATTCTATTTAACAAATGCCTCCTGGTTCATGTACAGAACCACTCTGGCCTCTTGGAGATTGTTCCATTCCCACTGGAATATCCTGAAAGAAAATTATAAATAAATACACAAAAAGCAAAAGCACAAGATAACAATATATCAAAGAGGAATTGTTAAGAGTCAAATTTAATTTGACTGGACGATAACTATATAATAGCACCCACTGCAAATGAACTACACGGAATTAACCAAGTCTCTGTTATACAGTTACAGTTGCTGATAAAACACAAGCTCATTCCAACACTTGCCTTTAGTGTATCCAGTGCCGACAGGGCTGCTTCCAAGGCTGGAATCGCCTCAGCTAGATCACTTTCACATTCATTCTTCAGAGCTTGCGCTTCCTCAGCTTTTCCACTGGCTACCTCTTCATCAAATTTCACAAACTTTCTTTTTGCTTCCACTTGTGCAGATTCTATCTCGATAATCTAAGCAAAAGAGAAAAAAAAAATAAAGACATTTGCTTAAACATCCTATTGTTTTCTCTATCCTAGAGACAAAAGAATATTTGAAAACTAGGACACCAAACATAATTTTGAAGGATAAAATGAGGAGAAATGTAAATATATGTGATCTAATTTAGTGAGGGGCTTCTTATCTTTCTTCAAAAACAACAGAACCCACAAGGAACCCAGTGAATCAACTGAAAAGAGTAACATCCCAAAGATCTTGTCGTAAATGACTTAAAGCTTATTATCAAAGCTGAATTTATGTATTTCAGTTGTCTTTTGTCATCAATTTTTTAAAAATTCAGGACACTTTACCTGCATCATATTTGCATTTTCAACTTTTGCTTCCTCTAATTTGGGCTGTAATTGGACAAGTTCTGTTTTCATTTCACCGACCTAAATAGACAATCTGTCATTAGTTTTCATAACTACAATAGCTATGGAAGCCAAGCAGAGAAAACTGAAACTTAAAATCAGGGCCAGAAAAGCGTAACTTTTTTTTTTTTCAGTTCTTTACATGATAAACAAAGCCATGAGAGTGTGGCCAGTTTTCTTCACAAAAGACTTTATTCTTTCTTAAGTATGACAGGGCAATGGAAGAATGCAGTTGTCATGGAAGAAAAGTCAGATAGAAAAATTGTAGCAGCTCTGGGTATCCCCATTATATTATGTGTATGGTGTACAATTCATTCAGACCACACGTTCTGCTGCTTATGTTGAAATAATGCTAATAAATATTACTTGACTCATTTGGGAAAAAGTCTTATATTAAACCAGTTATTATAATAAAAAGTCAACCCTGACACTGTACTTTCTCCAAATGCCAAAAACTTAAGAATAAAACCAGATGTATCTGAGTTTGTGCAGTCTGAGTGAACTTCTCTAAAATTCTAAAATTCACCTTACTCATCTGTAACATGAGGATCATAAAAGCGTCTACCTTATGGAGTTATTATGAGGAATAATTAAAGGAATGCAAATGAGGTACATAACATAGTACCTGGCACATAACGTATTCTCAATAAATTGTATCTCATATTTCTTATATTACCACTTGAGCAGCTCCTCAAATTTACCTGAGACTCAGCAAAAGCTAATTTGTCAAGTCCATTCATATAGCGCTGTTTTGCTTCCATTACAGCTTGTCGCCTCTTAGTCAACAGTTGTCGAAATGAGGCAATGAGTTCAAGGTAAGAAGTAGCAGTAACATAGTTATGTCGTCCTAACTCTTGCAAGAACCTAAAAGAGAGGCAGACAGCATTACAATAAATAATGGGTTTTACAAAGTAAGAAGTAAATTCAACATAGCATTAACAACAAATGTTTAAGAATAAAGGTTGATTTTATTCAGAAGCTGCTGAGTACTTAACTTTACACAGAACCACATCCTAATTTCTTGTCTGCAAAATATTAGTATCAAATAGCAATGATGTAGTATAAAAGCACAAATCAACAAAGATTTGTCTGAAGAGAGAACTATAGCAAGAAAGATAGAGGCCTTTTAATATGTTTCATATGCCAGGAGGATCTAACCCTGTAACAGACCCAAGATACTGTACACAGGTAGGACAGCAAGAACAAGTCATCATTCTTTGCACGTGTCATGTGTTGGTTAAATGGAGCTCGGCCAGAAATATAAGACCACTACTCATACACATAAAAACAATGGATGCAATGATGTTTCTTGGTGAGTACGTAGACTAGAGCCCCCTTCATGGTGTACCTGCCCAAGCCAAACATGCTAGCTGGCTGTAAAACTCTGGATAGGCAATACACCATGAGCACCTATGACATGAAGATCTCATAGATAAACAGATGTAAAACTGATACTTTTAAGGTATCCACAGCCTACCAACCATCTTCCTTCTTGTCTAAGAACGTCCAACTAGTGCCCCAGCAGCAATGTTTGTTCTATGAAACCTGCCACACTACACACAGCAGATCAGGCCAGGACTGGGCACTGGCCACAAAGAAGGCTAAATCACATTTTGGAATGAACTTGGACTAGAAAGCTGGAAAGAGCTAATGAGCTGGAACTGCAAGAAGTAAACTTGAGAATTGAGAGGCAGACAGTTTTCCTCCATATACACTGGAAAGTAGAAAATTCAGACTGAAAGAGAAAAGATTAGAAAGCAGATGCCACAAGAGAAACAGGAATAAGAAACAGAGAAAAAGAATTTCTGGGTTTCTGGTGGCTTCTTAACTCCTGCTTCTAGTAATTTCTAAGATCCAGCTATATTCTTTCCCTTAAGATACCCTGCTCTTTTTTAAACCTAGATCAAGTAGCTTTCTAATACTTAAAAGCCATAACTAATTAAATGATTAAAGAGAATTATAAGACATAGAAATCCTATTAAAATTTGCAGCTTCTCACAAAAGAGATGCTTTAACATACAAGGCATTACTGTCATTTTAAAATTTAGTAATATTAACCTTTCTGAAAGTTCCATAATGGAAGTGTGAAAATGTTTGCAGATTGGAACTATCTCTCGTCGTTCAACATCAGTGAGCTCCAGTGTTTCTAAGAATTTCACAGCTACACGTTCAAGAGCATCTTCAGGCCATGGCTAAAAATAACAAAAAGAAAAACAAGTGAAATTTAAAATGATTAGTCACACTCAAATTATATAAATTGTCTTCCTATGAGAGAACAACTTGGGGTTGAGAAAATTAAAATCTTAATAGGGAAAACAGAATTAGAGAGACTAAGGTCACAAGTAAATCAATGAAAGATATAATAAGTATTTTATACACTAAAATTAAAGATAACTCAATATAGGAAAGGTCAATAATACTTTACACATCAAAGATATATCATACTGTTTCCCTATCTCTTCCACTTGGATGGCTAGTAGGCATCCCAAATTTAGTATGACAATGGTACAGGCTGCTTTGTTGCCCTCTTAATACCTATCAGCCCCCTTTCCTTAAGACTCCAAATTTATTCTATGGAACTGGAGGAATCAACCTGCCTGACTTCAGACTCTACTAGAAAGCCACAGTCATCAAGACAGTATGGTACTGGCACAAAGACAGAAATATAGATCAATGGAACAGAATAGAAAGCCCAGAGATAAATCCAT